ATATCATCGGTGAAGGTAGTGTTGTCTAGATAATATAAAAACCAACTATATCATCTATGAAGGTAGTGTTGTCTAGATAATATAAAAACCAACTATATCATCTATGAAGGTAGTGTTGTCTAGATAATATAAAAACCAACTATATCATCTATGAAGGTAGTGTTGTCTAGATAATATAAAAACCAACTACATCATCTATGAAGGTAGTGTTGTCTAGATAATATAAAACCAGCTATATCATCTATGAAGGTAGTGTTGTCTAGATAATATAAAAACCAACTATATCATCTGTGAAGGTAGTGTTGTCTAGATAATATAAAACCAACTGTACTTCATGGTGAAGAACAGTCCAAGAGTTGACGATGGTTGTCATCCCTGTGGTCGTCAGTTCAGAATTAGCGACGACGGCAGATAGGCTTAGTAGCTTTGTTACAAACAAACAAATTGTGTCACAATATAGCAACGTATTAAGGAAATCACTCCAACATTAAATTTTCTCTGTTAATATGTCTGTAGTTTCTCGACATATACAATACTAGACTAATAACTAAACTGTGATGTCTTATTTTTAACAGTTGGGTATGATCAGTAAAATAGAAACCAGAGCCTTGAACTTATAATTTAAACAATGGCCTGGCTGTTAGAGGGCGCTGTACTCGCGTCTGCTGGTCGCGAGTTCGAATGATCGTCACCTCACATGCTCGTCCTTTCAGCCGTGGGGGTGTTATAACGTCGTGCTCAATACAACTATTTTTTAATAAAAGATTAGCCCAATAGTTGACAGAGGGTGGTGTTGACTAGCTGTCTTCCCTCTTGTCTATCACTGCTTTGTTACGGACGGCTAGAGCAGATAACCCTCGTGTAGTTTTGCGCAAAAATTTGAAAACAAACCAAACAATCTAATTTAAAGATATTTATATATTATAAAATATAAATAGGGCAACATTGTGTAATAAACTTTCTTTTAAAAAAATAGGCAAAACAACGTTTACATTACATAATAAAATGTTTAAAAAATTTAAAACTACGTGTTTCAGTAGGTTCTGCTACACAGCGTGTTTTTATATAAGAATGATATATAAGAGTTATTACTACAATATGCCACTAGGGAATGTTGAAATAGAAATAGTGTTTGATAGTTTGTTTGTTTGTAGTTAACCAATGAGGTATGTATGCTGTGACCAGACACCGGGTTTCTAGAGTTATAAGTCTGTAGTTTTTACCGCTGTACCACTGGGGGGCGAGTTTGATAGATTGTGTGAATTGTATTAAATGTATAATGATTTAAAACACACATCTCTTTAGAGCACTCAAGCTGGAACAATTCATCTTAAAATATTTTTATTTAAAAACTAATTATTTATTTTCAACAAGTTTCAGGATTGTAATACAGTAGACATTTGACATAAAATTGTTTAATGTGTACAGTACTTTCAATTTTTTGCAATAGGTGGCACTGCTACTTAGACATAATGTTCTGAAATTTACCTCGTTTTCTTTCAAATGTTTTTTTTAAAACTTTTAGGTGAATTGAATGCCCTTTAATCAGTTTCACATACTCCCCACCTAGCTTTATACAGATAACAATGCTGTAGTAACTTACAACAATGTCATTTATGACCAGTACGTGTATTTTTAACTTGTTAGCTGCAAAAGGTATTGATTTAGATCTAGAAACACTCCTCTCAACCCTCTGACAGCGACCTTGTGTATTTGGTAACATTTTAATTATTTTTTATAGATATTTTCGCAACTCATGTGATATAATACTTGTTACAAGTATTCCCAAACTTGTTTAAACAACGAACAAAAAAGTAGCTATTTTGGTGTGTTTTTTTTTTCAAGGTTATTGAGAAAGGGCATCAGGAAAACAACTACATCTACAGGACACGTTAACAAGTGGTACGGAGCCACACGTTACCATAAACATTTGTCTAATAACCTCGCGCACACAATTTTAAAACACAAAATTCAGTTCTCACAACCTGAAAGTTTTTAACTCAGACTTGTTGTTTTCAGTGTCTGTCAACTAACCTTCCGGAGAACTTTAACTCAAGATTCTGCCTATAAGATGTGATGATTTTAACTAAATACTTCCCGATAAACAATACATGTTACTGTACACTTCCAAGTCAGATTGGAATATTTAATTACTGGGATGATTTTGTATCTGATCTATGAAGGTAGCTTGGTTTAATATAAAGTTAATGGTCTATACCGTTTTAAGTAGAAGTTTGTTTTTGTTTGTTGATAAGCACCGAGCTACACAAAAGACTACCTGTGTTGTGCTCACTACGAGTATCGAAACCCGGTTTTTAGCGTTATAAGTTTGATAATTACTACTGTGCCACTGAAGTAAGTGATAATAAAAAGGTTGAGGATTTTTTTTTTAATAATTAGATCAGAGAAATTTTAAAATAATTAATCTTATAAATTATAAGAAAACGAATCAACCAGTATTTTGTCTTCTGGTTAACGAATGAAATTTTGCCCATTTCTAATTGGCTTTCATTTTCCTCGTGCACTCCAGAGAATGTTGCATGCATTGTTTTCTTTGTTACAACACACGAACTTTATTTCCATATTTTAATAAATTGTATCACAATTGTTTAATATTTTATAATGAAATCCCAAATTTACGACATAGACATTTCATTCATTATCCACAATAATTATATTTTAAAATTGCCACAAGTGATCGCTACACATTATTATTGTTACGATAGCGGAAGTCACGTGACTCTGGTAACACGTAATGAGTATCTAGAACGTTCGTGAAGGCTCGAGTGTTCTCCAGACGCCCTCTATTTCGTATATATAAAACCGGCGAGAAGTGACGGCATAGATAAATTAATTGAATTGCAGACAGGCAGAGATAGAGACGGACAATTCGCGGTAGTAAGTAAAGTGTGAATCGTTCGTTGTGAATTACAGCGTGTGTTTAAGTAAAAGTGACTGTGGAAATTAAGTGTATTGCAAAGGTGAGTTGAGAAAAAAATAAACTAGTTTTATTTAAGAAAATAACTTGTATCGCTAAAGTTTCTCGGAAAGAATTTCTACAAAATATTAACACTATTACTATATTTTCGTTACGTATATACCAATTTACTCATTTTTCGTTACTGCTTCACTGACTTACACGTCGTCTACGTGTTGTGTATACCTTGTGGTGCATTCTGGTAAACATAAAACAATGGGACTAACACACACAACAAATTTCACAATAATGATAACTTTTATTTACATCATAAAGAGATATGTACATATTCTATATTTAAAAACATGGAGTTACAGCCGATGTAAGATCACTACGTGACTAAAATATGTAAATATAACAGTAACATTCTGATTAATTATTAAACTTTCATGGTGTATTACGAAGGTCATTTTGAAAGTTTGTCAACACTACAACCCTCTTTCCAGCTTCTCCTTCTATTTTGTCATATATTTTCGGGGTTTTACGACAACGTTTTCGACAGATATGAAAGATATATTTCTCTTTGAATTAGGTATTTTTCTGAAAGCATATAAAAAACGAGAAAAAAAAAGGTAAGTTTATAATAATTATTTTTAAGTAACCAATACAATTATAAAGATTACAAAATAAGCAAAACTAAGTAAATTAAAATCCTAATATTTTAAAAAAGTAATGTAACATTTTTATACAAACTATAGTATTTGAAACAGTGTTCTGTCAATTTGCGTCTATTAATATCTAATATTTATTAACATGTAAACATACCGATAGATGGCGTAACATGTGTAGATCACGCTTGGTTTGTTGTATTACTACCAGGTTTACTATACCCGTGATAGGTACAGCACACAAACTAAAAAAAAAGTTATTATTGTTACTTTTATTAACTGTATTTAGGACTAACCTAAGCTGGTCGAAACTCTTCAAACATTATTGGAATTACGACCGAAATATTGTTAAAAGCAAGGCTACGCAAGTGACGAAACAATGCATTCTGATCTTCATAACTGGACACATGATTTAACTATACTGACGGCCAGGTTGATTATGAGTTTTGTTTACTGGGATCGGAAGTTATAAACGTTCTTTGTCTATGAAAATGCACTTTAAGGTAATGTAGTTTACAGACATGGGTTATGCGAGGTGACAGCGCGTGCTGTAGAAACATTACATTCTGGCACCATTCAAAGGATCTGGTGTTAATATCACGTGCAGAACGCTCTCATTTACTGATGTTTGTTATGCAATATTTTGTTAAT